CCCGGCTACTGGCACCGGCTTCCCGCCAGCACTGGCTTCCTTCTGGCACCAGGAACCCGGGCTGCTTCCCTCCTCTGGCTGCCCGCAGGCACCCGGGACCCGGGCTGCTTCCTTCCTCCTGCTGCCCACAGGCACCCGGACCCGGGCTGGCTTCCCTCTGGCCCCGGCTTTGTCAGGAAGGACATCCAGAATGATGTCGGAAGATGTCTGGTCTAATTAGCATATTACCCTTTTATTGTTATAGACTAGAGGCCCGGTGCACAAAAATTTGTGCACTTGGGGGGGGGCGTCCCTCAGTCCCACCTGTGCCCTGTCGCAGTCTGGGACCCCTCGGGGGATGACCATCTGCTGGCTGAGGCCTGCTCCCCAGGGGATTGGGCCTAAGATGGCAATCAGACATCCCTCTGGCAGCCCGGCAGCCCTCGGGGGATGTCCACTTGCCAGCGGGGAGCAGGCCTAAACTGCAGTCCGACATCCTTAGCGCTGCTGAGGAGGCAGGAGAGGCTCCCACCACCACCGCTGTACTGGCCGCCATCAGCCTGGCTTGTGGCTGAGCAGAGCTCCTCCCATGTGAGAGTGCCCTGACCACCAGAGGGCAGTTCCTGCATTGAGCATCTGCCCCCTGGTGGTCAGTGTGTGTCATAGTGACCAGTCATTCCCAATCTTTCTGCTGTTAGGGTCAGTTTGCATATTACCTTTTTACTATATAGGATAGAGGCCTGGTGCACGGGTGGGGGCCGGCTGGTTTGCCCTGAATGGTGTCCCAGATCAGGGTGGGGGTCCCGCTTGGGTGCCTGGCCAGCCTGGGTGAGGGGCTGATGACTGTTTTCAGGCTGCCCGCACCCCCTTTAGGGTGGGGGTCCCCACTGGGGTGCCTGGTCAGCCTGGATGAGGGGCTGATGGCTGTTTTCAGGCTGCCCGCACCCCCTTCAGGGTGGGGGTCCCCACTGGGTGCCTGGCCAGCCCGGATGAGGGGCTGAGGGCTGTTTTCAGGTGGGCCAAGCCTGCAACTGAAGCTCCCAGTCTCTCCTTTTTTTTTTTATTCTGGGATTTATTTACCTTCTGTAATTGAAACTTTGTTGCGGCTCCAGCTCCGAGGCTGGCCAGCTGAAAGCAGGTATCTGGGGTTTGTTTAGCTTCTATAATTGCAACATAGTTGCTTAGAGTGCAGCTCAGAGCCCAGCCACGGTAGGCGGGGAACCTTGGCTTCCTCCATCGCCGGGGCAACCAAGCCTCATGTTTGCTTCAGCTGTGTGGCTGCCCGCCGCCATGTTGGTTGGCAGTTAATTTGCATATCACCCTGATTAGTTAATGGGAAGCGTAGCGGAAGTATGGTTAATTACCATGTTTGTCTATTATTAGATAGGATAGATTAGCAGTAGATTACAATCAAATATCCTTTAGGAGTTCTGCTTATATATAGTATTTATTTCCTCATGAGGTCACAGTGGGCAGTGACTTATATCCTTAAATTCCTGTTCACTTAAAAAAAGTTTTTATTGATTATAGAGAGAGGGAGAGAGAAACATCAATGTGAGAGAGAAACATGTATTGGCTGCATCTTGCACATCCTCTACTGGGGATCTAGCTGCAACCCAGACATGTGCCCTGACCAGTAATCGAACCCAGTGACCTCTCAGTTCATGGGATGATGCTCAACCAGTTGAGCCACTCCTGCTGGTCTCCTTTTCACTTTTTTTTAGTGCTATAACGTGGTTACATTCAGGGAGATATTTTGACAATGTATTACAATTTAAATTTACTGTAAGTGGGAAAACTATTTGATACATTTTCAGTTGCTAAATTTTGCAGGCCCTATGATGGGGGAAGTAGGAAAATCAGTACAACTAATAATATGAGAAGATATGAAAATTCTTCCTCATTCTCTCTTCAAATCTTTATCTCTTAATAAATCTTGGTGGCTCTAACTTGGAACACTAACTTAGAACAGTTGTGTTCAGTAAATATGTATTTCTACAAAAGTGCTAGTTAGTATATAGTAAAGAAACGTGATATTTTTGGGAAATGTAAAAAAATCACTCAAGTTTTCTAAGAATGCCTTTTTTTTATCAGTTAAAGAAAACACCCTGTAAGTATATATCAGGTTTAATATTGACAAGAACTGTTTATTTTTCATTCTTTTTTAATTTAATTTTTAATTCAATTTTGATTTTCATCAAAAGAATACATGCATATAATTTAAAAATAGAAAGGCTTATAGTGGACAAAAATAGACATCTATTGCCTTCTTCCATTTCTTATTACCATAGACAGTGATGTTGGACTCTTGTCTGTTTCCTCTTTCTATTTTTGACCCTCCAATCCCCCAACCTTTGTCTGATTTATTTGGTAATCTTTTAAGGGTTCTGTGGTGGGAATCAACTCTAGCTGGCTTCTCCCAACCCTGCAGGAGCTTCAGTTTTTATTTTTACTCTGTAAAGTCAGTTACTGCTGGTATACTCACATTTTATCTTACAAATTTTGTTTTTCAAGAGCAATAGTGTGCTTTGGGGCTCCTCCCTTGTTCTCTTTCCCTCTGTCTCTTTCTGGGTTAATGCATTTAATGCCTTTGCTGTTATTTCAGAGGGGTTTAGAGAGAAGGTAAAGACATTCTTGAGTTTTGTCTACTTTTTACTGGAATGTCTTAATTAAGTTGTTACTTGAGTATAATTTTCTAGATGCTTGCCCTAAATGTAAAAAGGAAGTTACAGTTTAATAATTGTGATTTTCAGAAAAACAAAATAACAACTGTGTTTTACACCATGGGGTGTGTGTGTGTGTGTGTGTGCGTGTGTGTGTGTGCGTGTGTGTGTGTGTGTGTGTGTCTATTTTCAGTGTTTTAAAGTTGGGTTCTGGATGATATTAAATAACTAGTATTGGAATAGATTTAAATGTCAAATTAACTTTATTACTTTATGCCAACAATAGCAAACCCTTAAATTTCCATAGCCTATTGGCAATATTTTACCAGCTTCTCCCCCAGCAGGGGAAAAACAATTTAATAACACTAACTAAATAAGCTTTCTTACTTATTCATCCAGCACACATTGTTATTTGAGATGAACAAATGGGTATTAGCAAGATTGTTTGAGGCATAGTTAAGAGCAGCATATGGAATGAGTCACACCATCTGGTTGCATTGATACCTGGGTGGTGGTTGTTAAAACTCCCAATTCCTGGGATCTGCATATGACTTAATTATACTGCAAAAACATATTGAACTACACCAATAGATGAGTTTGGAACATCTTAAAACCAATTAACTGGCAAACATCTTTCAAAATATCAATACTGCTATTATTAAATGAGTCATTATTTAAATTATATATATATACACATACACTAACCTGGAGACTTAAAATATGTTTTTTAGGATCCAGAATGGGTGGTACCTCTATATTGGCACTGTAAAAATGATGTGGTATACTTGCTCAACACTTATTGAATAGTTATGACTAATGTCATTACAGTAAAATGTTTGCAAACACTGAATTCACATGACAGCTAGACAAGGTTAGAGAAAAAGGGAAGTGGCACTAACTTCCAGGAATACACCTTAAAAATAATTAGATAAATAAAAATTCATTTTTGATCAATTAAAGATTTTGTTCATTAATGATATCTTGTAGGTGGAAATTACTGTGTTCAGTTTCTTCTGCTATGCAATCTCCATTTCTGTTGTATGACTTACCAAGAGCTAGAAGGAAAATAATTTGTTAATTTAAAATTTAAACCAAACCTAACTCAACACAGAATTCTCTACTTTGAAATGTGAAGCAGATAAAGTGCAATAGAGTGTGCCATCTATCTCTGAAAGTTAGAGGGAGAGAAAGAAGGACAGGATATGAAGGTTGAGGGGCTCTGTTACTTATGAATTCTCTTATTGTTTTGATTTAAAATAACATTACATACCATTTTTAATTACTCAAAAATGTTTCCAGAATATTATTGAAAGACTTTGGTTTGTAATTTTACAGCATTGTTAAATTTCAGTTAGCAAGGATGATTGCAAGATGACTATTCTGTAAGAGTATTGATAATCTGCTCTACAACCTGGATTCCAAATGACCCCTTTACCAGAGGACATGACTGCCAAAGTAATTTTATGAAACTTTGTATAAATTACTTTGTTACTTTGCAGAGATTATTTGACCCTTATTCTTCTGGGTGGAGTAGCCACTTTGTGATATTTGGACAAAATGTAAATAGTTCTTACTCTCTCTGAGCACATTTCTGTTCATTTTTTTATGTGCATGATAAAACATCAAGAAACTCAAGAGATAGCGTCTTAAGGCCGTCTGTACAGAAAAGACATCAAGGTTGTAAAAGACCTTAAAAATCATTTAATCATGTATCTACCTATTTTTCAGTTCCCTTCTCCAGGGCCCTACTGTTTTCTCTTGAACACTTACTGCCTCATGAGGTGATTAATAATGTCCCTTATTATCAAACCTCACTTGAATTGATGAAGAGAGAGAACTTTATTCATATTGTTAATAACTTTGCTTCCTTAGGTTAGTTTAATTTTCTAAATTAGCCTCAAACTTAAAGGTATAGCTATTTGATTAGAATATTTGTGTAGCTCCATACATAACACATTATCATATTTTCTTAAAAATGAAAATATTAAATAATCAATTACTTTTTGAATTCTTTACCATAGGGCTCTCTCACATATATTGTCTTCTCCCTTCATCAAAACACACTAAAGCATTGTTTGTGTTTCCTAGAAGGTCATGTGTTATAGGTACTATGTATTTCTAACTAGGTAGTCACTGAATTTATCTCCAAGTATATTATTTAGTGTGGGTCTAGCCAAACTTACCTTGACGTATCTGTTGTGGGGATTAATAGTTCAAAATAATTTTAGATACCTTTAGTTTATGAAATAAAAGCATTGTTCCAAGTTTAAATGTACTAGCTAAAAATGTTTTGCATTGATGTAGAATTTTAAAATTATAGTATATAATAGTAAATTTGTAAAATATTTTCTCTCTTAGGCGAGGGTTAAATCCACCACACAGGGTGAAATCTATCTCCATGACAACATTCACACAACAGGAAATTGAATTCCTACAAAAACATGGAAATGAAGTAAGTGTTTTTACAATTTCAACTTTTTTGTTGGCAGCCATTTTAATAAGATTTAATAAGTTGTTTAGAATGGTGAATTTCACTGTCTTAAAAAAAGTTATTTTTGTATTTTATATTTAGGTATTTTAGTATATAGTCATTTAATTTATTTAGAATTAATGTTTGCTATCTAAGTACTTTGCTTTAACCTGAGGTGAAATACATATATTTAAAATTCATCAGTGATGACTATAAAAGGCATTTTAGAAGATGTCTAGTATTGGAGTAACTGTTAGTCTTTGCTTTAAAAGATTTTTAAAAAAAAGAACTTTATGGTGTTATCGTAAACTTTTGTTAGGCTGTTGTGTGATCAGCTTTCACTTGAGCTCCCCTCCTTCCTATATACTACATTTTATGTGATTTTTAATGTTATATTGAACTGGTGCTCAGAAGGTAGGAGGCTGGTAGTTCTGAGGGCACAGCATAGTGTCATGGGAAACCCAATAGTGTAAATATTTGGAGAGGAGTGTTGTCCTTCCACTCTGTTTTATTGGGCTTCCAGTAATTCCTTTCTGTTTGTTTGCTTTTTTGTTTTTAGTTCCATATTTTGCATTAGTAAAAGATGGTGATGTAATATTTTTTAAAAACTATTACAAAAAAATCATAAAGAAAGTGGGCATATTTTATGACCTCGAGTAAGGATGAGCCAGTCACCTAATTAATTAATAGCCATTATACTTTTACTAGTAGCCCAGTGTACGAAATTTGTGCACATTAAAAGGGAATTAATTAGCGGAGATATTTTAATATTGCTATTTGCCCTTCCTCTATAATAGAAGTGTGAGAGATGAAAGGAAATTAGTAAAATGTATATGAAAATAATATATAAATTTATTAATAAATAAAAGTAACAAAAGGTATAACAACAACAGAGGCATGATATAAAAACGACAAAAACATGATATGAAAACAACAAAAATATGATACAAAAACAACAGTGATGCAAACAATGACTGATAAAGTGATTAAAATTATTCTAATATCTCCCTGTACACCACATTAAGAGTGAAAACACTTTCAGAGTGCTTGACTAATTTCCCTTGTGATGAAGTATTTAGAACTTTAACTAACGTCACATGCTCTTTAAACTCGAGAGAAAGCAACATATAACTGAACATGTGCGAAAACGGTTTCAGGTAGGAATATGCCTACCCTGTCTAGAGTTTGTCCTTGTGATTTATTAATAGTCATCACAAATGCTGGCATCACCGGAAACCATCATCGAATCAATTTAAATGAGAGGCCAGTGTCAGATGGGGATAAATTAATTCTTGGAATCAGAACAACCTCTCCTTCTGCAGATCCTGTTAATACTTCAGCTTCGATAATGTTAGGTCGTAATCTTTTGATAATAAATCTGGTACCATTACAAAGACCCCATTTACTATTGAGATTTCTCAGTAGCATGATGATTGCACCCACTTTCAATTTTAATTTGTGACACGGCATTCCGGAAGGAGTAATACTATTAAGAAATTCGATGGGAAAATTTTCCTTTTCAGCATCATCTGTGGAATCAATGGAATCATCACTCAAATATGTATGAAAATCTCCATCGAGTATATCCAAAATTTCTTCATTTAATTTTTGAACATGCTCATTTTTTGGACAAAGAATTGCACGTTTAGATATATTTTTAATATTATCTATAGATATAGTATTTCCAAAGGTAGCTTTAATAATAGATCCATTACAAATCATTTCACAGGGGATTTCAATAATATCCATTCCTAAATGAAAACTGCTATCAAGTTTGCCATCTCCAAGTTTTACTAACCATCCACTATAAGCAGAATCCTCTGATCTCATATTTGTTGTAAGAGACAACTTTCTGAAACATCCCCAAACATTGCAGTACTTTACACTTGTTTGTACTATGGCCGATCCCATAGCATGTGGTACAATACTGAGACATTGTCGAAAATCCCCTCCAAGAAGGAGAACTTTCCCACCAAATACAACATTCAGACTCATAATTTCTCTTAGTAATCTGTCTATGGCATTTATAGCATGACTGGGTGCTATGGTGCATTCATCAATAATGAGAAGTTGGGCCTTTTTAATAGTTTAAGCAACTTCACTCTTTATATCGAGTTTGGAAATTGAAGTTTCATTTAATGGAATCAGTAATTTATATTGGGAATGAAAGGTGCTTCCACCGAGAAGTAAATTTGCAGCAATTCCTGTAGACGCTGTGGGTAAAACAGTACCACCACGACCTCTAATATAATGCATTAAAACTTTATACAGATATGCAGGTGAATAGGATTCCTAGCTGGCAGGCCCCTGACAACAGGCTGGCCACCTGTCGATTCCGTGAGGAATGGGGCTCCCTCCTCCCTCCTGTCAGGGTCTGGGGTGCAGGTGAATTGGGGTTCCTGGCTGGCAGGCCACTGACAGCAAGCTATCCAGCAGCAGATTCTGTGAGAAATGGGGCTGCCTCCTCCCTACTGTCAGGGTCTGGTTTGAAGGCCGGCCACGCCCCCTTTTGGGCCAGACCCAGAGTTCTACCACGCTGTGGCCTCCGCCTCAGCAACCCAGGACTGACTGCTGCTGGGTGCTCCTGGTGCTCCGAGGGTAAGTTCTTCCCTCAGGCCTCGCGGGAAACAGCTCGGGAGGGTGCAGCCCTTGGCAAGGCAACCCAGGACTCAGTATTTCCACGCTCCGCTCCAAGGGTGGGTTCCTGCCTGAAACCTCGCCCTCCGGGAGACAGCTGGGGGAGGGCGCAGCCATTTCCAAGACAACCCCTGCAGGACTGACTTCCTTCCGGTTGGTTGAGCTTCGGGACGTGATATTACACCCAGGGTTTTTATATAAGTAGATAGGCAATTCATCACTTCCAATAAAGGAAAGAGTAGTTTCGTTGTACTGTTCTGGTTGTATTTTTTTGATACAAGAGAAGTTAAGTGTTAAGATTTTGTTAGTTTCAATCTTCTCTCACCTTCAGAAGATATATGCAAGCATTTTTCACTCTACGTGTCTTTCTTCCAAATACTTGATAATAATACCTTAAACTTGCTTGCCTACTTGTGATGCACATGTGTTTTTGGTTCTAAAATAGTGAAGAAGTGTAAATTCAAGACTTAATGAAATATTTTTAAGTACATGGATTTCTAGAAGTGAGCACTTTGCAGTTTCCAGATTTTATAATCAAGTTCCAGACTGATTGTGGTACATTATAGGAAAATCTAAAGCTAGAAGGAAGTGCAGAAAGTTTGTAATGACATTTCAGTATAGAATAATATATTTACAGATTAAAATACAATTTGGACTATTTGTATAAATTTTAGAATTAGCCTAGTACTGAAAATTTTAAATTACTTTCTTAAAATGTTGACCTAGTATGCAAAATTTTGGACATCAGAATGAAATCAGAAATAAAAGTGTATTATTGTTTTTTTTGTGTGTGTGTGTGTTTTTTAATATATTTTATTGATTTTTTACAGAGAGGAAGGGAGAGGGATAGAGAGCTAGAAACATCGATGAGAGAGAAACATCGATCAGCTGCCTCCTGCACACCCCCTACTGGGGATGTGCCCGCAACCAAGGTACATGCCCTTGACGGGAATCGAACCTGGGACCCTTGAGTCCGCAGGCTGACGCTCTATCCACTGAGCCAAACCGGTCAGGGCTATTATTGTTTTTTTAGATTAAAAGTCTAATGACTGTAACAGAACTGGAAAGGTAACAAACAGCTCATTGGGGAAATAAGTAAAAATATCCAAACTTGTTAGTTGATAAGTTTAGGTGGAAATTGGTGCCAAAATATTAAGATTTCTCAAAAAACAAATTGTGGTAATGACACTTAACGTGAGATATCTCTTAAACATTTTTAAAGTGTATAATACAGTGTTATTGACTATAGACACAGTGCTATAGCAGATCTCTAGCACTTACTCGTCTTACAGACTGAACTTTTTACCCATTGAACAGCACTTCCCCATTCTCCTTCCCAGCCCCTGGCACACTGCTGTACTTTCTGCTTCTATGAGTTTGACTATTTTAGATCTCATATAAGTGGAACCATACAGTATTTGTCCTTCTGTGACTGGCTTATTTCACTTTAGCAAAAAGTCCTCAAGATTTATTCATGTCTCACATATGTCAAGGATTTCTGAGGGAACATTTTTTAAGACTGTAATATCAAAATGAATTTAGAAAATATGAAAGGCGCTGCTTGATTTTAGATAGCCCATTATGTCAAAAGGTAGAAACAAAATATAAATATGAGAGATGACTGGAACGGGTTCATGACTCTTAAATTCTAAAGAGTCAGTCAGATTGATAGGCCACTTGGAATCCTCACCATGACAGTCACTGAGCTCAATACTGTGGATGCAGTTACAGATCTGTGTGCATCGGCTTAGCTGACATAACACTACAGTTGAATTGAGGGAGACAGATATGTAACATATTACAATATGGTGTTAGATAATTAAGATGAGTAAGAATTTCAGAAGTTATATGGTGACAAGGAGAGTGTTGGGAAACTCTCACAAAGACCATGACACGTTTGCTGGTTTTTGAGAGAAACTAGGACTTAAGCTGGCAGGAAAAGATATTGAAGGCAGAGCAAACACTGCACAAAGAAAAGGGAAATTTGCAATAGTTCTTACTGTTAGAAAACATACTGACCTTTTAAATGCTTGTTAAGGAATATAGGCATACCTTCTTGTGTCCCTAAGGACATCTTAGAACCAAAATATTCAGGTAGGTATATTTGATTCTTTACCATATTAGCAATATCTGTGTTCTTAAAAACTTAAGGTATGTGTAAAATGTGAGGACTAATATTATGAAGTGCAGGATGGTTGGTACAACTTCATAAAAATACAGACTTCAACTGCATGTGCTTTATCGTCAGTTTATCATATTTAAACCTTTAAATCTTAAAGACAACATGCATACAAAAAAGTATACAGATTTTAACTATGTAAAGAACCATACTTAAATCACATACA